TTACCAAGGCTTTAGCTAGACTATCATTTCCAGAAGTGTCCAGACTGCATTGAGGATTTAAGGTTAACTTTATAAAGGAGACCTTTGGAAAAACTGGCCAGATACCCATCAATAACATTTCCTGATCTGTGGTAAGTAACAAAGGTTGCTTTCTGACAGGTCCAGGAATCAAAATGGACTTGGGAACCTCAAGAAAAGAGGAATTTACCCAATACATACAGGTATCTAATGGCACAGATGAAACCTGGGCTCATGAAAGGCTTCCAAGTCTAACCTGAGATTCCTTATAAAAGGTTCCAGCAAAGCCAAATTTAAAAGAAAGAAAGAAAGCTTAGATGGTTAATAATTATTCTTGCTGCACTTCATGCAAATAATCAGACCCAGTGTACTAAAGGTACAGTTTATTCTGACAACTAAGTTAATTTTGTTATAATTTGTCGTTAGTAAAAAGAGAAATCAGAGAGAATGAGAAATGGTTCAAGGAGAAGAGGCCATCTGTATTAAAAAGAGGCCCAGTCTCTGTTAAAAAATCCAATTAAAAATCCCAGTCTCCGTGTCCTTCTCGCCATGCGTGTCCTCCGCATTCTCCATGTCCTCTGTGCTCTCCGTGTCCTCCATGACCTGAGTTACTTGGTGGCTTGCCTTCCAAGTCACAAGAGATTTCCAGGCTTGCCAGGAGAATGTCTTGTTCTCAGTAATTCCTCAGATGAGTTATGACATTGGTGACTGTTGTAGTAACTATGATGTTTAATCCTCTATACTCCGTGTTCTGCATGTCCTCTGCACTTTCCGTGTTCTCTGCATCATCCTCCACTCCACTCCCCCCACGTCTTCAATGTCCTGTGTCTCCAGCAGGCTATGTGGAGCATGTTTACCAGTCTGGGCACTTTTCCAGCTTCTCTTGTGTCACATTTGCTAACATCTTGTTAGCCAACATAAGTCACAAGGCGGACTTCAGAGTGGGAGGGTGTAAACACAGGGAGGGTTGAAGAATTGGAACTATCTTTGCAAACTACCACAGCATATTTTTTTTTAATTTGTTGATTAATAGGAACTCAGATATCCTTAGCCCATGTTAGTTATATCACTTATTTTGGCTTGGCTTTCTGCTAGGAAAAACCAAATGCTAGTATTTATGGGTTTTTGTTTTGTTTTGTTTTGTTTTTGAAATAGTTTAAGTCAGCTATTAAGTCTTTCCTGGAAAAACAAAGCACCAATGCCTCGAGAGATCCCTTGAGAAGGCTCCCAGACCTCCAGGATGTACTTTGGTTAAACTAAACACCTTTTGTCAATTTGAACGTGTTTTCATATGGATAAACCTTTGCTTTATGCACTCCCATCAAATATAAAATTTCCTGTTAAATATTATCAAATATTGATGGTGCTGCACAAAACAAATATTATAAAAGTTGAACCAAACTGGTGTCACTCTTCAAAGTAATTTCTTGAAGCCATTATAAAATGGACTGAGTTATAAATAGTAATGACTGAAGTCACAGAATTTGCACTGCATTCATATCCACAAAATCAACAAAGCCTTCAGGCTTTTCTCTGTTGTCTTTACCCACAGTTTATGCTCTTTTCTTGCATGTTCTTATGTTTCATGTTTTCTTTCACCCAATCGCTTTGTGTTGATGAGGACAGTAAAAGTACTTTGGTTTCCATGATGATATTTGGTATATGGAGATTAGTGAGGAGAACCTTGGGTAGGAGAAGTGGGGTCTTTTGAGGCTGCAACACAGTAATGTGTAGCCCTTAGGCTGCTTTTAAAGTGAAATTTAACCTATTTTGCCAGAAGATTGCCTAGTAATATCAGAAGTCAATAACTTCTAAATATTAAACTTCAAATTAAATATAATGTTACTTTGGCTTGGGAGAACAAAATTTATTTGTCAAAACTTTATATAAATGCATGCAAAAAATCTGGGTGCTTTCTATTGTAACTATTTCTGTTTGTTTTAATGTAACTTGTTTTGTTTGTTCTAATATAACCATCAGCAAAGTGTGTGCAACCCGGCCTTCAAATTGATTCTTTTTTAAAATTTTTTATTTTTTTCAGGTTAATGTGAGGGTACAAGTGACCAGGTCACAATATTTGAATTTGTTAGGTAGTTGTGCCCTGCACCCAGGAGATGTGCCGTATACCCCCTACATTGTGCCCATTAAGTTCAGAATGCACCAATAACCAGGCCACAATATTTGAATTTGTTAGGTAGTTGTGCCCTGAACTCAGGAGGTATGCCATATACCCCTACATTGTGCCCATTAAGTGGGAATGCACCAATCCCCCCCCAACTTGAAGTGAAAGTTTTACTCTTATGTGGGGGTGAATTAGATTGTCTACTGGCTTCATATTAGTATTGAGTACATTGGATTCTTGCTTCGCCATTCTTGTGATACTTTATTAAGACGAATGTGCTTCAACTACATCCAGGTTAATACAAAAGATGTAAAGTCACCATCTGTTTATGGCTGCATAGTATTCCATGGTATACATGTACCACAGTTTGTTAATCCATTCTGAGTTGATGGGTATTTAGGTTGTTTCCACATCTTGGCAATTGTAAATTGAGATGCAATAAACAATCTAGTGCAAATGTCTTCATGATAAAATGATTTTTTTTCTTCTGAGTAGATGCCTAGTAGTGGAATTGCAGGATCAAATGGGAGGTCTAATCTGAGTTCTTTGAGAATTCTCCATACTTCTTTCCAAAGAGGCTGTACAGTCACACCAACAGTATAAAAGCCCTCTCTGTACATCCCTGCTGCCATCTGCAACTTTCAGAATTTGTAATGTGGGCTTATCTTACTGGGGTTAGGTGATATCTCAGTGTGGTTTTGATTTGTTTGTCTGTCATTCATGTGTCTTCCTCAGGGAAGCTTCTGTCATGTTTCTTGCCTAGTGATAGCTGGGATTGTTTGCTCTTTTTTTATGGATTAATTTGAATTTTTTAAAGATCCTCATTATCAAATCTTTGTCAGATTTGTAACATTGAAATATCTTTTCCCATTCTAAAGATTATCTATTTGCTTTAACTCTTGTGTCTTAGCTGTACAGAAGATTTTCATAAACTTTTCATAACTTAATTAACCATTAAGTCCTATTTGTTTATTTTTGTTGTTGTTGCAATTGCCACAGAAGTCTTCATAGAATCTTTCCCCAGGCTGATATCTTCAAGTGTTTTCCCTACACTTTCTTTGAGGATTTTTATTGTTTCTTGCCTTATATTTAAATATTTTATTCATTTTGAATCAATTTTTGTAAGTGATAAGAAGTGTGGGTCCAGTTTCAGTCTTTTATGTGTGGTTATCCAATTCTCCCAGCACCATTTATTGAACAGGGATTCTTTTCCAGATGGCTATAAGAGATTGGTTTCTTCTCATGATTTTCTACTCAGTTCCATATGTCTATTTTTGTACCAATGATACTGGAATTTCTTCTTCATTTGGTTCTTGGTCTCAGAGATTGGAAGAGTGAATCCATGGACCATAAGTCAGTGTTAGACAGGATTTATTTTACAGAAAATAATACAGAGAAAAGGCACCAGAGGGCCTGGCAGAGGGAAAAACCCAAATCAGAAAAAATCTCTCTGCTTGGGTTGTCTAGGTGTGTATATAGTCAGTCGCATAGGTCTTTTGTAGTTCCATTTGGCCAGAACTTGGTAACAAATTAATGGATACAGTCCCTTCCACTGGGGTAAGATGAATGCTTTGTAGTAATAAATGGATACAGTCACTTTGGGGGGGGAGGCAAATAAATGCATAAATGAATGAAATTTTCTAGGAACAAATGGTCCCAGGTCTGTATCACCCTTAGGTCTGTGAAATGCTCACAGGGGAGTAGTGCAGCCAGAGGATGGCTTTCTAGTTCCAGGGGTGGTTCTGGAGTTGACACTGGCAGCAGTGCAGGCTGTGTAGGGTGACCAGACATCCCGCTTTTGGCGGGACAGTCCTGCTTTTCAACAATTTGTCCCGCGTCCCATGGGGGTTTAAAAAAGTTCCGATTTTTGGAAAGAATGCACTAACAGGCAGGAGAACAAGAAGGGAATATACAGTTTTTGGCTGCCATGTGGCGATTTCGCCAGAATATGAGTTTTATATTATTTTTGTTAATTTTATAATGTTAAATGGTAATAATAACAAATAATTGCTGAGAAGTGATTATGGAGAACTGCTTATCAAAGTTTGCTTTGTTGTCAGGCCCTGCCCTGCCCAGTCCCCTGCCCCGCCCCCACCCCGCCCCCGGCCATGTTGTCCAGCCTTACTGATGTTAAAATCTGGTCACCCTAGGGCTGTGCCATGGTCTCCCTCGACTAACTGGGGACCTGCGGGATTCTGTGGCGCTTGCCCTCTCTGCTGCATTTGATTCTCCAGCTCTGCCTCCCCTCCTCTGCTGCACCAACAGTAATGGGGCAGAGATGCAGAAGGCATGGCAGGTCCTCCTGGGTAGCTGGCGCTGACTAAGCCAGGATGCACCTGCCCTGTATCACTAATTCCATACTGTTTTAATCACTGTGGACTTGTATTTTATTCTTGTCATAAGGGCAGCTACATACATCTTGCATCCCAGAATGTCAAGGCCCTAACAGAATGGCAGAGTATTAACTGTGTATTTAAATGGCTGTGCCACTAAAATGGGGATAGGAGGAGACAAGACCTAAACCTTTCCTAACTCTGTATGCTTTTCACTTTCATTAAACAGATACATATGTTTTTAGGAGATGTCAGTTTTTATTTATAGAAAACGCGCGCGAGTACGAAACTGAAAGGTTATTTGACGTTGTAAGGCGGGAAACTAAAGGCCAAAAAGGGAAGAGGGGAAACTCCATTGCAAACTCCGGCCTGCAGGTCACCAGTGGTTGGCGCCAGGTGCTCAGAACCAGATTGCGCAGCTGTGTTCGCAGCCCCGTGCCCTGCGCCGCAGCCTCCGGCCTGCTGGGGGCGCGGTGGCGCAGGGCCGGGCCGGCCGCTCTGGGCCGCTCTCTCCGGCAGGAGGCGGCCAGGCGGGGCCGGAGGGGCGCTGGGCTGAGGGCACCCAAGGAAGGTTAGCGGTGGCGGGGTGCCGGAGCGTCCAGACCGTTGCCACTCTGCAGACGCCCTTAGCCTGCCCACGGAGCCAATTTCCCGGCCCTCACGTCCTGCCCTGGACACCCCACCCAGAGCCCTTGGCCTCCCCCAGTTTCTCGGTGTCCCTGCTCTCCAGACGCGCGAGTTGGGTAACGTAGTGGCGTCGCGGTGCGCACAACCGGGCCTTCAGCGCCCCAGCGCCCTTCCTGCCGTCAGCCGTCAGCCGCGGTCTGGAGCTGCACGGAGCACCTCTTCGGGTAAACACAGGAGACGGGAAGGTACTTCTTAAAAAGTGCATTTTACATTAAAAATACATAGAACTCATCTTACAACTTAAGTGACCACGCCTTTATGTTTCTTAAATCTTGTGAGAACTTGTACATGCGTAGACTTTTCCCGGCTGGGAGTCAGGTTGGGGTGCGCAGCGCGCGGCGGAGCCGGGGCGGCAGTGCCCACCCGGCCTGGCGCCGACGCCCCTGTGGGTCCAGGTTCCCTCCGTGTAAACGCGGCGGCCGGGGCCGCCATTCATTGACTGCTGTGTCTGATGAAAACGTCATCTAGTTTAATCCACACCCAGGACGTACCAGTAGTTCTCAACCTTCCTAAATTGCCGCGTTGTTACAAATGGCAAAAGGGGGTCGCGACTCACAGGTTGAGAACCGCTGATGATGATAAGGCTGAGATTGTCTTGTAGCTTTGTAGGCAGAGTGAAACGTTTGACTCTCCTTTAGTAAAGAAAGGTAACAGTTTCTTAGTTATGAATAGATAAGGGAACAAGAAGTGGATGATGAAAAATAAAGAAGAAATTGCCTGGTTTATTATTTTGCAAGTAGGCTCGCACACAAATTAGCCAGGAGCGGTATAATTCCAAGTTCCCATGGTCCCTGTCAATATGTGTGCGCGTGGGTTTTCTGTGATTCCCCTTTTAAGACATCAAAAATGAGGTTATGTTGCAGCTAAAAAATAAGCAGATATTTACAGTGAGTATAACTAGAGGTTGGTCAATATCATATGTAAATAAATGAGTGCCAGCTACCTGCAGTGGGGGGAAGTATGGGAAGAAGGTGGAGAAAATAGTGGAAAAGCTGAAGAAGTGCTGATGGAAATATGCTAGACATTAACTGCGTCTGTCTTAGGAAAAGTTGATTTGAGTGGTAATGTCAGAATAAGTATTGATTTAAGCTTAAGATTGGTCCTCCAGCTTTTAAAATAGAACTTATTAGTTCCGCACTTGAAAATAGTAAGCTTTTACTTCTAGATTAAAAGTTTATCTTGTTGAAACAGAGATTTATTTTCCCAAAAAGTACTGATAATTTACACATCTGTGAAGAAACGACCAGGAATTTGCATTCTACATACTTAATTCAACTGATACATCTTGAATTTCCCCCCTAGCCATACCTGTCCCCCTTTGTGGGTTGGTCATATGAAGAAATGCAGAATAATTTTCTCCTGTGTAAAAAGATTTTGGGGTTTTTTGTTTGTTTGTTTCTTTTTGTCTTTTAAAAATAGTTATATAGGCTCAGTGCCCTCAGCACAGTGATTATGGCACCAGCCACATACACTGAGAGTGGCGGGTTCAATTCCAGCCCAGGCTAGCTAAAACAACAATGACAACTGCAACAAAAAATAGCCAAGCATTGTGCAGCCCACCTATAGTCCCAACTACTTGGGAGGCTGAGGCAAGAGAATTGCTTAAGCCCAAGAGTTGGAGGTTGCTGTGAGCTGTGACACCATGGCACTGCACTTGGCATTCTATGGAGGGCAACATAGTGAGACTCTGTCTTGGGGGAAAAAAAATCTAAAAATAATTATATATAACAAATTCTTGGCTACTGAGACTGTTTTTGGTCTCAGTAGTCTATATGTTCTTAATTTGAAGTACAGGTCATTGTTAAAAGTTGTCACTTTAACATGATACAAATAAGTTTATGCAATTTGGAGAGAACTGTTATACTATCTTCAACGACTGTGGTTTGTAAATGGAGAAGCAGCCATAAAATTGGGCTGTCTTATCCTACTTCAAATAAAAGAATAAGAAATAATGGAAAATGTCAATTTCATGCTTTCCAGAAAATATCACAATGAAAATTATGGTATGTTAAATTTTTTAAAATATATATAAGGGTTTCAGTCCCACAGTGTCATCATTTGTAGTAAAAAGTTTAACATAAGCGGTGCATTGTTAAGGTGAATGTGGATGTCTGGAGATTGCAGTGTAACAGATACTGCCTGAAGTGCTTATTTTCTTGATTCATTATGAAGGAAATGTAGGAAAAAAGGGATCAAGGAATCTTGCAATGAAAACTTAGTTTTTATAGATAGTCTCATATAGGTTGAATCTCATCAATCACTGTATTTTAAAATAGTGAAATTTCTGTTGGCTGTAACTAGTGTTTGTGTCTGCACATACATATTTATGTGTGTATATATGTACTTATAGGTACATATATACACATGCATATATATTATTTTAACGTCTATACACACCCCGTACATAATTTTGGACTTCAGGTGTGGAGTGAGTTAATCATCTTCAAACCCTGGCACATTGTCACCCACACAAAGTATATGTGATAAATTGTCCCTGGGGACACCTCTGTGCTCTTCACTTTGTACTCTGACCTCCCCATTACCTTGTTTTTCTTCCCCATGAACAACTTTAATCCATTTTCTATAGGGTATCTTTGTTTTCCAATATTAAGAAAATGCTATTTGTACAGGATTTAGTCAGGATGAGTTTTACCTTTGTATATCTGCTTTTTCAGGCCTTCATACTATTTTTATAAAAGCCCCAATTTCAAAAACAATCTTACACTGTGATTCAGTCCAAATAACATGACCAGGTGTTAACTGTTTCCTACCTAATTACCTAAATTTCTGTATAGGTGGCCTGCTGACAGGCAGCATAATACTGCTTCCACTTTAATATTGCTTCATTTTTCATTTTCTCTTTCCTCATATTCATGTTAAACAAATTTTTAGCACAGGGAAAAACATCACAGACATCTTGGATAAGCACGTAGAGGCCACCATGGTTGAGAGGGGAGAGATGAAGCACTGGTAGTCTTCATTAGAAGAAAACAATGACTGTAGTGGAAGCAGTTGATTTACTGCTATGAGAAAGGAGAAATAGCAAAGGAATTTACCATCACTTCCTCTACCTTGTCCACATTTTTAAAAGATTGAGCCAAGATTGAAGACAAGGTTAAAGAAGGGGTAGTGGGACTAAAGCAGAAGTCCCTTTTTGAGCAGGTTTTTGCATGGTATGAAGTTTGTGCAGGAAACTGGCATGATTATAGTATCATTTATAGAACAAAAAGTATCAGATTTTTGCCAACTTTGGGCTTGGTGAGTTTCAAGCAAGTGTGGGATACCTACACAAATTCCAGTCATGTTATCTAATTATTTCAGTAGTTGCCTGTGGTACCCAGGCTGAGGTGGTTGGATTGCTTGAGACCAAGAGTTTAAGAAGCTTCCTGTAGTGAAGAAAACACTGTTTGGTAGAGAAAATTATTAACTCTTAATTATGTAGAAGAGAAATTTAAAGAAACAAAAACAGAACAATTGGCTAATTGTAGCTTGAATGATGTTATAGATGCTAATGATAGAGGTATGCTTTGCCAGTTAGTTACCATATGCTTCATGCCAAAGGTAGACTTTCCAAAGGAAGAACTCAGATTGATGATTGCTGTAGTATGCAGTAATGCATTCTGGACAGGCAGCTAACCACCAATGCTCCATAAATGTTCATTTGTTCTTCTGTGATTACCAAGCCGATACACATGCCAAATGATGAGAAATATATTAATGAATGGTTGAAAAGATAGACAAAAGAATGCAAGGAGCAAAACGTGATTTCCTCTTGCTAATAGACAGTTGCTCTGCGCACACCACACTCTGTGCTTGGATCATATGTGTTAAGTTTTTCCCACTGAACTGCATAGCCATTCTGCAGCCTTTGGATCAGGATATAATTCACACATTGAAACAACTCTTTCTAAATGTACATGTTGAAGAGAAAATTGAGAAAGTAAACATGAGGAAAGCCATCATCATCTGTATGGCATCTGCAGAAATGAAATGTTGGCCAAAAACAGGTCTGATTCCTGTGCAGTACCCTTAGGGCCACCAAAGAAGACTGCAACTAAAGGTGGTGTTTGAACTATTCAGTATGGCACTCAGTTGCTACTGTTACTGTTAACTTTCTCCAGAGTTATCAAACCTTGAAATTGCTACAGGAGTGCTAACTAATGTAAAAATGAAGGCTGTGGTGGTGATGATGGTGAGATGATGAATAGACAAGGGAACCATAATGTGCATGGAAGCAAATGGTGGAACAGCCAACAGTAAATGCTTCTGAAACCTTTGCAAGCATAGAAAGTGGAGAAGTCCTTTCCCCACAGCAGGTGTTCCTAAAAGGGTTCACCCAGGTAAGTGGTATGGATGAATATTTAGTGGCTTCTGCAAAGTGTTTTGAAAAGCTGAGCTCCTAGTTTTCTCCATAACTACAAAATTGCAAAAATATTGCTTTTATAAAGTTTATAAAATAGAAGACTAAATGAACACAGAACACTTGTGTATGCAAAGCCCCAGCAAGTATCTTCATGGGATGTCTGGCTCTTACTTCAAGAGGTTCACTGCACAGTGGTTGCAGCATTTCCCCCAGTAATTTCATTGTCATTGAGTTGAGTCTTTGGAAGGTTTCTTTCTCTGGTTCTCCTTTCAACCCCCATTTCCCACGTCAGCATTAGGTGGCAGGAATGATAAGAAAAAGCTTTTGCCTAATAATATCTAGAAGAGAAAAATATTCCCAAAATGTTGACAGCTCTTGCTAAGAGAACCAGAAGACAAAAGACACGCTTGCATCTAATAGGATGAATTTAGAGTAGACAAGAGAACAAAAAGATATTCTAATTAAGCAGATGGCAGAGCATGTTCTACTTGGAAAGTTGCTGGCAGGCACAGGGGAGTGCATGCAGACAGCTACTTACCCTCACTATGTGGGGCAGCAAGTGCATGGTGGGCCAGAGGAAGAGGGGAGAGCAGCAGCAGGTGTGAGCAGCCTGCAGGAGATACCGAGCAAAGGAGTGCTGGTACTTCCCTTGGGTTGCTGTCCTGGAAGGGCTGTTGGAGAGGAAGAGTGAAATGGAGAAGAGCATGGGTGACCCCCTAGCCTCTGCTCACTGCTTACAGCCTTGTGATGTGACTCCGACCACGCTCCAGTTCTCTAGACTTCTGTGGAAGTAGGAAAACAGCCTTTGCCTCCTACATTGGCTTGTTTTATGGAGTGAAAAATAAAATAATGAATGATTTTCCAAACTAAAAGCACCATTTACAAAGTATATTATGCAAATTGGTGATCACTTTTGGTCTATATCTGGGCTGGAATTAAAAAATAGGAATGAGAATGATTTTTTTAAAAGCAATTTATCAAATAATTATGACAGGAAAAATGTCTTATTTTGTTTTTAGGTAATAAGTCCTCATTGGTCAAGATGTCTTCACCACCGGAGCCTCTAACATTCAAAAAGGAACCACCTACAGAGAAAGCCTTTCAAAACCCAGGGCTCAGAGGAGTGCGCACGACGACCTTATTTCGAGCTGTGAATCCAGAGCTCTTCATTAAACCTGTAAGGTGTACATATAGGGAAAGGCTTGGTGTTTAATCTACCAGACTATCAGAAATAGAAAGTTCTTATTTTCCTCTAATAGGAAACAATTTTGATTTTGTTATGGAAATTTTATGTTGACTAATAAGACCTCTGAATAGAAGGTGGAAGGAAAATTTTGAATGCTGTCTCACATATAAATACATTTATAAAACTAAGTATTTTGAGTGACTTTGAGAGTGATAATAGAAAATGGTTGCACTAATGGATAAGGAGTTGAGCTAATTGAGACTTGGGCCCAGACAAGTTAATCACCTCCATGTCACACAGGTAACCCTGAAAGTACAGCACCAGACCAGTTTCCATGTCTCAAGTGTCTCCCAACTGTCCCCTTCCTGAGGCTGGAGGTCTGAGCTATCCAGGCTTTAGATAGAAAAAAGACTCCAGAGAAGCAAGAGTCTTCTAGAATCTCTGAATCAGGGGTGAACCTATGGTTCCATGGGCCACATGCAGACTATTTGAGGACTGTTTTGCTTCTCTGTGGGGTCAGAGAGCATGGGTAAAGAACTGAGTAAACCGTTAGGATTGGAATTCTCTGGTAAGAATGCTAGTGTGCTGACAGGCAAACCATGTCAAGAGGGAAACAGAGCAGATGAGTCAGGTCTCCCCAGATGGTTTTCTTAATTGAGGCTTTATGATATTTTTCTTTGACAGAACAAACCTGTAATGGCTTTTGGAATGGCAGCCCTTTCACTTTGCATGGCTTATATTGGTTACCTGCATGCAACACAAGAAATTAAGAAGGACCTCTATGAAGCTGTGGATAGTGAGGGGCACCATCACATGAGGAGAAGAGCCTCTAAATGGGACTGATGGTGCTGGTTGCTGCAAATGGTGCTTTCTTGATGGCTGTGAAATCTTTCAATGAAAGACTGCAAGAGCACACAGTTTCCTGTTCTGGAACATGTGAATGAGGAGAGAATATCGCAGTGGCACCCAGACAGCTGTAATAAATTTTGTCCTTTCATAGCTTTAGCCACAGAAAATTTTCTACAAAAAATGTGACAATATTTTTCTTTTATTAAATCTTCTTATAAAAGTGCCATGAGAATAGAAACCATTTTTGTTAATTATTAACCTCTGTAATAACCTAGTACTATTAAATTTGCATGATATTTTTACTATTTTAGAGTGAATTATGCCTTTGCAGGCATTGTAAGTTTAGTTGTGTTTTGCTATTTCTAAGAGAAATATTCATTTTCTACCTGGCATGGAATCTGTACTTGTAAAGAAAGAGAAATAATAATTTTAAATCCTGAAGTCAACTTTAAGGTGTGAGAAATGATGATTTCTATATTTTGGTTTCCATTTCAGCTATTTTGGGTCTAGAATTTAGTTTTAATTGAAAAGATACTGCCACTCAGCTACCAAAATGAAGACTTAAGTGACAGGATATCCAAAAGTAATTGGAGTTTTTCTTTCTTTAGCTGTTTTTCTTTTTTAAAAAAATCAAGTATGTTATACTGAGGTATGATGTTTTTATTTGACTAAAACTAAATGTTATCTATTTTAGTTTTTATAAATTAATATTACAGAGATGTTATAAAACCAAGTGTTCCTATAGTTATTTAAAAACTAGAACTACTCAATAGATAAGAAATGAGATCTCCTCTTGTATTGGATTCATTTTATGTGATTTAAATCTCTCTGACAAGGATTCTGAACCTGTTTCATTTCTAGATATTTACCTCCTTCTCCAAATCGTTATAATTGGGCTCAGTAAGTAAATCTCATCTCTGGAATTTTGTTTCATTTGTTATTACCAAGTAATAATGACAGCACAGGCAGAGTTTATCATCACTGTGTTATCTTTAATTTCTGGTACTTGATTGTGGTTTTGCAAGGTATGTGGGTTTCAAACTTATCCTCTGCTGCCCGCATAGCTTGGTGTAATGGGTCAGTTGCTGGGCCCATCCCTGGGCCAGCTCTACAGACATAACTTTTTGTCTAACATTTTTGTCTTAGCTTATAGCTTATTTGGGCTATTCTCTTAGCTTGCTTGAAACTTTCAGTCATAACAATTGAGTTCAAAAATTAATTTACTGCAAACATTAATCAAAATAAATGTTAAAAATAGCTTACCTCTGGTGGGGTAGTCATCAACCGGCCTCCAGAATGGGTTCTCCACGGACCCTGGGATGTCTTCAAGGGGTTCCTCCTCTCAAAGAGATCACAGCCTCCTGGAGGCCGTCTGAGGATACGTGCCCACCAGGTTTTGCCTTTGGGTTGGATGTTTGCCTTGTTTGCCTTAAGATCATTTGTAGATTGACAGTTTTATTTTTGGCAGCCCAGCAATTAAAAGAGGAACAAACTTTCCTTTTTAACATTTATAGTGAACTTCACAGTAACCCTTCAATTGCCAGAACAGGGCTAAACAAACTGAGCCTTTACAATGGAGCTATATAGTACAAGTTAATGGTAATGGAAACATCAGAGATATAAAAAGACAGGGGTTGAAGTGCTACTTAATTTTAAATACAATAAAAACCAAACCAATTTTCAATATGAAAGACAAATTTTTTTTCAATAGAAAGGACTTAAAGTTATACTTTAAACATCAAATGGATGTTTTAAAATGTTCGTTGTGGGTCTATTATTAGAACCAGAACTTTTTCTCTTTCCTTTAATTTGTGTAGACCATCTGCTACTTGTACTGACCATCTATTACATGTCCAAATCTTTCACAGCATTTTTACACAAGATTGCTTTCTTATACAGTGTCTACACCAGACCTTTTCTTTGTACAGTATCATGTTACTTCTTTTTTTTTCTTTACTTTTAAAAACTCACTTTCCTAATCTTTTCTAATTTTTCTTACTCTCAAACTTCGCTTCCTAGAAAACAGGATTTCAATTTACTATACCATGAGTGACAACAGCTAAGAATAGATGTTAAAGTGGTTTATTTCCAGTGAGGTGATTGTTAGCCAGCCTCCTGGGGGGGGCTTTTAGATACTCTAGGAACCCTGAGATGTTTCCAGAGGGCGCCTTCCCTCGGAGGGACCACCGCCCTTCAGAGGCCACCCAAGGATCAGCGGAATTTATGTTCACTAAAGTACTGTTAAATGGCTATTTTAAGGAGTACAAAGTACTTGTTAATTCTCTAAACAGACACTCAACATACATCTTAATTTCAAAAATATTAAAGAAAATAACTAATAATTCAATTAAACAATTCAGCTCGTCACCCGGGGCTGAGAAATTCTCAGCAGCCATACCCTGGGTGAAAAGTGGCTCAGCCACAATCAATGATCCCTAGTTAAAACAGCCCAACCTTTGAAAAAAATTTTGCCACTTTAAAAGTATACCAAAAAGTTTTAAAAGTAATAGTTTTACTAAAAAGAGGAAGAAGAAAAACCACAAAGATCTCTTCCAGAGCAAAACTTGAAAGTTTCCTGCCAAAATTCACCCATGATTTGCTTCAATGGATATTCAAAGCTATAAAACTGGGGTCTTGTCTAAACTTTAAAAAAACATTAAATGATGCACTGGAAAACTGCAAGCCAAACATAAACTTTACTGACAGTTATTACCAAATCTTACTAAAACAAGAGCAACGAACTTTAAAATCAGTGCGGTGGCTGGAATCAGGAAGTTGCTGAAAAGACTGAAAGAAATGTTCAAAATTGGGGACCTGGGGTCTTGCCCAGTTGTCACACAAACACTGGCTAAAATACTGGAATCTCCAAATCAAACAACCACGATGAACAAATCCAACATAAATTTGACAGGTGAATTTCACACAACCTTATTAACATAAGAAAAGAAAAATGGCTTGCACAAAAAGGGGAAGAGGAAAATTTTGTGCCATTTTGAAAAAAGGAAGTTGGTTTCTGACAGGCAAAGTAATATCTAGTATTTTTAAAAGGAACAAAGCTTAGAAAACAAATAAAAACAACAATTTCTATAAAATCATAAATGCACAAACCAAGAGCGGCTCCGGACTTTAAATCTTGCAGACTTCTGCAGTTTTTTTTTTTTTTTTTTTGGCCAAGGCTGGGTTTGAACCCACCACCTCCGGTATATGGGGCTGGTGCCCTACTCCTTTAGCCACAGGTGCTACCCGCAGACTTCTGAAGACTGCAAGCTCCACAGTTACTCATACAATATGATCAACAATAAAACAAACAAAGTGCAGAGAGGTTTAACTTCTGCAAACAAGCACAAGAAGAAAGGGGGACAAGGGGAAATCACACTAGGATAATAAACACAAACCAGTAGTGAAGCACTTGCTTCACTGGCAGTAGTGAGACAGTTTGCCTCACCTCCAGGAAACCTGTTGGTGAAACAGTTGTTCCACCGCCAGTAGTGAGACAATTTTTCTCACTGCCAAAGAGACAGGGCCGATGTCTCATGCCCTGCCTCAGGGACAGGTGTCTCAGGCTGCATCCAACCTAGCCTATTGTTCCCCCAAAATTTTCTAGAGACACCAACAAGATACCAAGACCAAGACCAAGCAAAACTAGATTAAAACCAAATTACTCACCGAATTGGAAAATTGAGGAACCTGGGCCTATAAATCCATGCCTGAAGACTCAATAGCAAATTGAGGAACCTGGGCCCGTACTTCCATGCTCAAGGGCTCCTGAGGCAGAGAGAACATCTCTCCAAGGCCTCCCCCAGGCGCAATTGGGTAGTGGTGGGCTCAGGTGGAGGTCCTATCTCGCTGGGGCCTCCATTTGAAATGGGAAGGTAGATGTGAGAGAAGGATAGAGCCCACTTCAGGTATAATTAAGTAATAGAAATTTATTGATAATTTTGATACACCTACAGGTGCACCTGCAGAGAGGGTCTTGTGGTGGGCCAATAAGAAGCCCCGAATAACAGGAGAGAAGCCTTTTATACCATTATTCTACATAGTCATGGTGACTAGCAAGCTAGCACAATACAGAAACCAATCAGTGGTTAGCACAGCTCAATATAGCTCAGGGGTCACAAGGTAAGGGTACATATTGATTCATACAGTAACCAGGTGCAGTGAGAAGGGGGAGAGATTTCAGGCATCTCTGGCTAGTGGGTCAGAGAGGGTCAGCCAGTTTTGTCCAGAGGCTGTCCTCTGGTGACCCAGGAAGTCAGTGCGAGACTTTAGAACCCCACGAGGAGGTCAGAAGTGGTGGAAAACTGGCAATTAGTGGGTGCCCATTTGTTTGGTCAGAGGCTGCCTGCAGCTGTACCTATAGCAACAGTGACACTGCAAGCAGGAAGAGCCTTGCCTGGGGGCTGTTTTGGTTTGTCTGGACTTGGACACTCCATTGAACTGCTTTGGGAGACCTGGGGCTGGTGTGCGGATGACTTTGGGCACTGTCTGGGCCCCAAGACTGAGCCGCTGAGCCGGTAAGGAGCTGATGCCGTTCAGCTGTGTGCTGCCTGCACAGTTTCTGTGGGGAAGCTGCTTCTGCATGGTGCAGCACAGGGATGGGATGGGTGTCCTTGGGCAAGTAATCTAGTGACTGAGCTGCCCAAAGGCGGGGGCTGGGACGCTGGAGGAGTGCGGAGATCCAGGTGTTTGGCAGATTAACACCCTTGGCCCTCAGGGGCATTGAGGGAAACTGGATTTGGC